AGTCGTTTGGGGCTTCTTTATCGGGCCCAAACGTTCTTGAACTGGAGCTTTGCATCGTCCATCGGGAAGTGGACCGAGGCGCTCCAAAACTGGCTTCTTTCATCGGGATGATTCTGCATGATCTCCCGGAGTAGCCATGGGAATTATCGGCGATTTAGAGTGGTTCGCCGGAGGTTGAAGGCTGCAAAGGTTGCTCTTTAGCCTGAATCGCCGCTTCAGACTTCGGCCTCCAGACTTGGCGGGTTGGTGGCGGCTTCTTCGTCACCTCCTTCTGTAATCTCCTGCGGTCTTCCTGGACTTGAGCCCGTGCTTCCGCTGACAGTGCGCGGCGCTTGCGAATGCGCTCATTAAGTGTGGAACGATTCCGTTTGACACGGATCCATTCGTTCGTTGGCGGCTTGGAGGAGCTGCCATTCATTGTTTGTTGAGGCTGTTTGCCTCTCCTGTTCTTTAGATTCGCGTTGTAGCGGATTCCATTCGTGGACTCCATCGCTTTTGCGAGTTGCCGCACCAGGCGTTGACGTCGCCTCTGGCGAGCTCTCTTTGAGAGAGTCGCTACGCCTTCAATGGCGGAGGCATTGGCGGGAACGGATTTGACCTGGTTGGAGGTTGGTGGAACTTCACCCGATGCAACTTCGGCATCAATTGGGGTGAGATCTTCGTTGGCATTCTATACTTCTTCATACCAACGGACTTTTCTCCTGGAGGAGAACTTCTTGGACTTGCGGGGGGAGGTGGATCCGGACGAGGATGACATTGAAGTCATTGCTTTCTCAAGTAACAGTTTTTCTGTTACAAAAGATCCGGTCTTTTTATAAGATCCGGTTACAACAAAATCAAAAGAAAATGAAAATTACAACTTTTCTTTTATGTCGAACGAATCGCGAGATCCTGTTTTGCGGTCTCTCGCTTTTGTGGGTTCTTCGCCTGCGCCGGGGTTAATCCGTGGACCATCGCGCGATCTTGATCCGGTCGGATCTACACGGTATGACGGGTGCTATTTCACGAAGGAAATAACAGCCGGGGGTACTATTTCGCCAAGGAAATAATAGCCTTTAGTAATCGAAATCGACCAAGCGAAATCGATACTCTTCTCGGGATCAAAAACCAAGTTTTGATCCGGAGGATAGTCGTGTAGATCTCAGATCTGATCTCTCTCTCGAACTCCTGCCTTATCTGACATGGACGCTCGCCAAGAACCAGATCTGAAAAGCTATGTCTTCAAAGCTTCAAAAACTCCAAAGTTCAGTTCTCAATCCAGCAGAGTTTCGGCTCCAAAAGTTCCAACCCCTCGAAAATGAGCTCTTACTCCTCTATTTATAGCCTCTGAAAGCGGATCTGGGCCCAGATCTGGGCCCAGATCTGAGTGTGGCTCGGCCACCGAGCCACCCCTGGGTGGCTCGGCCATGGCCGAGCCACCCTTGGGCCGAGCCACCCTTGGGTGGCTTGGTTTTGGCCGGGTGTTCGTCGTTGTGTCCGTTGTCCGGTTTCGCGGTTTATCGGTTTATCCGAGTTTCGTCGTTGATCTGAACTCTGATTTGGCAGTCCGGGTCCTGATTTGGCAGTCCGGATCCTGATTTGGCAGTAAACCCGCTTCGGTGTTCGAGTTCGAATCCGTTATGCAGTTGGATGACTCGTTGACTCACAGAACCGTTAGCTTGATTCCGCACGCGAGTGGATTTATTCCATTGTTTGCGTGCGGTTCGTTAGCCTCGTCGCCTCGTTAATCCGCTTCGTTGTGTGTCACTTGGCTTCAGTGTTGCGGATTAACGCTCGTGTTTAGATACGTCACCTGATGGTTCGTTGGTTTGTCGAATCGTCGTGCCGAGCTGTGTTAAGGGACCTATAAACAGTTTTATACGCCTACAGCATCGATGCCCGCATCGATGCCTGTATCAATGCTAGCATCGATACCCCTATCGATGCTGGTATCGATACACTGGGCAGTTTGTTACGAATAAAAGGCTAAAAATTGATGTTTTTGGATAAGATTTCGATCCAATGGCTCTCATTCACTGATGTTTACTATAAATAGGGCTAGAGAGTGAGGGGTTAGTGGTGTGAAAAATTTTGTAATTCTTTTTGGAGAGGAGGGCTACTCTTAATTGAGAAGGCCTTCCAAAAATTGTAACTTTAGTTGTAATTAATAAAAATAATTTTTCTCCTCTTTAAATTTGTTCTTTCTCCTCTTTGTTGAATGATGAGGATGGAGATGAAGAGCAATTTAAAGGTTTGCATTTATTTTCTCTTTTATTTCTTTTTAGTAATTTCTTTATTATTGCTTATTAGTTAGATTTAAATTCATGCTTGTAGTGTAGATTTATTTTCTTGTCTTTTTTATTTCTTTTTGCACTTTAATTTGTAGAGTAGATTTATTTTTCTTGTATTTAATTTCTGCAATTTATTTTGTAGTTTAGATTTTTATTTTCTTTGTAATTAGATTTATTTCTTGTTTATAGTTTAGATTTTTCTTTTCTTTTTATTTTTGTAATTAGTCTTATTTTTCTTATTTTTATTTCTTAAGATGTGAATTTAATTCTTGTAGGAATCTTAGAATTGTATAAAACTAGTCTAATTTTCTTTATATTGTATGAATTATTCTCTTGCACTTAAAATGTTCATGTTTAGGATAATCAACTAGAGAACTAATCGGTAGAAGAAGAATTTGATAATCTATGCTTATCTTAAATGGTTTGATAGGTTATGCTTATGAATTCTAGGATTATTATCATGTTGTTGTTCTTATCATGAATAGTAATTTTAACTTAGATGATAATTTGATAGGTTACACTTTACTTAAATTGTTTGATAATCTATGCTTAATAAATCTAAGTTGAAATATGATAAAAAGAGAATAGTTTATATTTTGTAATTAAATTTGGTTAGTGGATTATATTCTAGATTTCTTACCTCTTTTAAATCCTCCATCTTGACTTTCTTAAATTTTTTTTTCATTCTTGGTTTTATTTCTTGATTTTATTCATTCATCTTTCTTGCCTTGAGATTTCATTTATTCCTTAATTCTTCATTCTCTCCTCTAAATTTTAATTTATTATCTTTTGCATATATTCATAACAATCACTCATCATATTCACACTTATTCTTTATTCCTAATTGTCATACACAAAACATAAGACCCATTTTAAATAATCTCTTAAAATCACCTTCCTCATGGGATCGATATCTTTTTATACTATAACTTGATAAATTGTGCCATCTCTTAAAATCACCTTCCTCATGGGATCGATATCTTTTTATACTATAACTTGATAAATTGTGCACTTGTAATTTTGGTACATAATTATGCCATATCTTTTTATACTATAACTTGATAAATTGTGCACTTGTAATTTTGGTACATAATTATGCCGCATCATAAAAGCAGTACTTGATTTTTGGCCTTATCGTATTCTAGAATTTATCAAGGATTATGAGTTTGTGATTCGGTATCGTCTAGTGAAGATGACTTATACAGTAGAAACTTATGCGAGGATATTCATTTAGGAGATCGTGAGACTACATGGAGTTCTAAAGATGATTGTATTAAACCGAGGTTCAGTTTTACCTTTACATTTCTAGAGGAGCTTCCAAAATTCTTTCAGTAGCCAATTGTCGTATTCTAGTGTGTTCCACCCACGGACAGACGAAGAGAGTCAACAAAGTATTGGAGGATATGTTGCTGGCGTGCGTTATGGATTTCTAGGGTAGTTGGGAGGATCACATCTGTAAAACCTCAAATTTTGAATATTTTATGATAAATAATAATGAATATGTTATATATTTATAAATAACATATTATGATGTTTGAGTATGCTAGGAATTGGTTTGAGATCAATTCAATGTATATATGAATATATATAAGAGCAAATGCACAATTCATGCTCGATGTATAAATCTGGAAATTTATGACCAGCGGAGAGATTTTATATTTTTCTCATAGATGTATTTGGAATTTGGAAATACTTAAAAGACAAAAGTTGTAGGTATCTTCAAGATATTTCCAACAAGTATTAGATCACCTCATTCTGAGGTCAAACGTGAAAGTTATAGTCACAATACCGAAGGTCATTTTCCTAGTCAGATTAGGATTCCTAGTTCGGGTCAAACGGGTTTATTTCAGGTTTGCATATATATAAACATGTGTTTTTATGAAAATTAATATCCTTACATCAGAGTTTCAAACCCTAGCAGCCCCTCTTCCTCTCTCTGAATGCCTAGCCCTAAAGTTGAGAATTTTGAGAGCTTTGTGAAGCAAATATCGACACGAGGGCGAGATCATCAACGTGTAGATGGGGAAAACGGCTTGGTTGTAGTTCGTTTTGGTTACTGGTTATTTTAGAAGCTTAGAACGATGTCTAAGGCAAGATTATCTTCATCCAAACCCTTCCCCATAGTTAAATAACTAGTTAGATGTTTAATATGATGTTGAATATGTGTTTTCATGCTTGAATCTTAACATGATGTGATAAAAGTTAAATTTTTTATGTTAAAACATAAACCAATGCTAGATTAGTAATTTTTTTTTACTGTTTATGATAGTATCATGATCATGATCATTAGGATTTTTTATAATTTCATTTATATATGAGAAATTTAAGAGATGTCACTAGTACAAAACTGATCTGTCCAAACGGTTGTAACCGTTTGGACAAATGCAGTCCCAAACGGTTACAACCGTTTGGGCGAGTAAAAAACCCGTTTGGGCTGAAGCCGTTGGGGAAGAGTTTTCCCCAACGGTCTCCCAAACGGTTGCAACCGTTTGGGTTGTCAAAAATGCCCAAACGGGTGAAACCATTTGGACAGAGTTTTGTCCAAACGGTTTCAACCGTTTGGACAAAACTCTGTCCAAACGGTTTCACCCGTTTGGAACGTTTATTTTTATCATTTTTTAATTTTAGCTATTTTAAATATCTACCTACTTATATTTAATATGCACATCTCACACAATAATTTCTCAATATATCACATTGAAATCAAAAATATATACATACACCAAAATATCTCAACAGTGCTAAATATCCAATATTATATATACATACACAATGAAAAGCATCCAATATTATATATATGTTTCTAATATCCAAAATGACTCATACATCCAAAATATAATATAGGAGTGGCTTGATCCATCCAGTCAAGGAACATTTTCAACACTTGAACTTTCACCCTCCACCTTCAATTCAACTTGGACCTCAGGAGCTGCACTTGCATCACCTTCAGCCTGCACATTCGACGCAATCTCGGGTTTGGAAGGAGCAGAAGCCTCTACAGTTGGAGAACTCTGATGCTCAGAAATAAATGCAGCCTCTACAATACTTGCAGGCTTGAACTTGCCGATATAGTAACTGAGTGGAGGTCCAGAGTACTCTGTACTCTGAACTTGAGGTGCATTTTTGCCGACTTGGAGAAGAATTGAGGATGCTGCAGCGACTGATATTAGAGCTAAACCAGCGGCGAATCGGCGATGGCTGCAGTGTTCTCTGCTCCTAATGATGATGTGCCTGCTGATCCAGAACTTATCGCACTTTCCGCAACATAGACTGCTGGCTGCACGAGGAAGGCATAATCACGACTATCAACTAAATAACCTCAGGTTGTGATTTAGGAAGTGCTTCATCTTCAGTCGGAAAACATAGAGATGTCATTCAAACGTAATATGAATCTATGATAGACACTGAAATATATTTCCATGATCCATGTAAGTTATTTCACAAATTTGCGCATAAAAATGTTTTGCGAAAACAAACCTCACAAATTTGCCAATGCATTATTGCCCTCACAGTTGCAGCGCCACCATCATCAATGCCACCCTGAGTTAATGGATATTCTGTAAAGGGTAGGGGAACAAATACTTCTGTAAAACAAGAAAAGGCAACGTTAAAAGAAAAATTACCTGGAAACAAGGTATCAGTGGAATAACTATAATAACCCTAAAGCACTTCTTTTCCTTCTCTGCGCGTGATACGCCTATATAGGGCTTCTAAAATGCGGTTCTTTATAATATCATCTCCTGAAAGACCTGATATAAAAAATTGATTCTGGCAAAAGCAACCAGTGGAAATTGCAAACAGTTAGAGCACAAGCGTTAAAAATAATGTCATCTTAATAGCATGGTGCACCAAGGAAACCACAAGCAATTTATTTAACATTAAAAATATGTGCACCGTAATAATAAAAAAAGGCAAACCTCAATGTATATAAAGTGAAACAAAGGTGAATTGTACAGATTGAATACCTAGCCTTACTCCAAAATGGAAAGACGTGAATGTATAACATCTGTTTGTAAGTGAAACAAAGGAATTGTACAGATTGAATACCTAGCCTTACTCCAAAATGGAAAGACGTGAATGTATAACATATGTTTGTAAGTTCAAAAACTTTATACTACTTAACCCAAAGCATGTGTAAATACCAACATGGTCGGTATACAAAACATGACTGATTCTAAGTTAAAAAAGTAGCACAGACAAGGTTATAAAACTAACAATTATAATCAATACAGCATACAGACAAAATATCAAGAACTTAATGCTTGTGGTTTTCTCCTTGTGTATTCGAAGATAAATAACTTTTCAAGAGATAAAAAGAAAGTGCAAATATTATCAACATAAAATTAAAATATTTATATAGCTAGATTCAGGTTTAAACAGGAAATAAGCTAAAAAGGAAATCAAATAATTATTTGAAGCTGTGAAAGAAAATAGTTTTTCAAAAAAGCAGCTCACATGGGTCAATAACTTACCTGAACATACTTCATAAGTGATGTTGTCTTCCTTAACATTAAGCATACAACCACCTAGAGTAACAAAATTGTAGACTATTATTTAGAAGTTTAAACAACGTAATCTTTTAAACAAAATATGGAAATTTCATGTCACCTTGCTGAAGTATCCAGACAATAAGGAATTGTGTGTATGGTTTGGTTCAAGAAAGGAGAATAGCAGATCCATCAGCTGCCAAAGTGAAACAATAGTTAGTGGGGTAGCTAGAAAGTGATATATTCTGTAGAACAGATCAAATAATTATTAGCAGAGGATTTGCAAGAACAATTGTCAATCAGCTACCTCTTCGTCCTCTACTAATGTCTTCAAAATAACATCAATCTCACAAGTGAAAATTTCACAAGCAATGAAAGGGAACCTGGTTCACAAAATAACTTAGAATCGGGGATCTGGTCACCGTAGAATTAACCTAGAATTTTACCAATCCACCAAATCCAGCAAATTAACCTAGAATTCAAACGTAGACACAAATCGAAGTTCTATTAGTTATTGATACTCACCGGAGACGAAGCAGAGAAGTTGGGGATTCTCCAAAACTTCTTCAAGTGACGAATCGGGGATCTGGTCACCGTCGACGAGAGAAGAATCAGAGTCCGCTTGAGAAATTGAGGGGATTGAGGAAGAAGAAGAGCGAGAGCAGCCAGAAAAGGGGTCTCAAGAGAGCGAGAGAAACCCTAGATTTTGGGAGAGGGGGGCATTTTTTTTTTTTGGTTTGAAAGAGGTGGAGGCGGATTTGAAGGTGGGCTGAGATATTAATTTGGGGATGAAAATTTGGCGCTGCCGGTCCTGGGTGAAAATTTTGGGCGCCACTCCTGAAAAGTTTGGGGAGAACAAGCGGGTCAGAAAATATTAATTACAAAATTATTTTTTAAAAACCTTAATATTGCTCCCAAACGGTTGAACCCGTTTGGGTTAAAATATCCCAAACTGTTTAAACCGTTTGGGAGCTCTGTTTGGGATTTTTTAAATGCCCAAACGGTTTTAACCGTTTGGGATATATTAGCCCAAACGGTGTTGACCGTTTGGGCTATTTTGACTTGTCCAAACGGTTCTTAGAACCGTTTGGACAGACCCATTTTGTACTAGTGTGTACTAAATAAATATTTTCTGCAGAAAACTACAGCAATTATATCATGTTTAACTGAGATTTCGAAATAAAAAATAAAGTCCAAATTTAACCAAACCAGTGCCAAATGAAAGATATGTGTATCTAGTTTCTAAAACAGAAGACTAATTTTAAAAATCATTTCTATAGAGAAAGATATGATCTTTTACTAACAACATATCCTGTAGAAAAACGGCTGCACATATATAATGTTTAACTAGAGATTTGGGATAATAAATGAACTCCAAACTAAACCAAACTTATGTCATTTGAAAGATGTGTGATTCTAGTTTTCAAAAAAGAAAATCATTCTTAAAAATCATTTGTATAGAGAAATATATGATCTTTTTACTAACAACATATCCTGTAGAAAAATGGCTGCATATATATAATGTTTAACTAGAGATTTAGGATAACAAATGAACTCCAAACTGAACCAAACTTATGTCATTTGAAAGATGTGTGAATCTAGTTTTCAAAACAGAAAACTATTTGTAAAAATATTTCTCCTAGAGAAAGATATGTTTGTTTTACTAACAGATATCACGTCTATTTTTCCTGCTCATTTTGTGGAGCTGTGTTGCGCCGTTTTGAGGTGCGTTTGCGGAGTTTTGAGCCACTTGATGTCATACATATAGTCATGAATATGTTATGTTATACATTTAATAATCCCAAGGTGATTATGATGAATTTTAATTTGATCATATTTGAATTAGATATAGTTCATATACATGTTGGATGTCGTTAATGAGCACATCTTAGTACTATATGGAATAGTACGTCGACACACCAGATATACATGGTTTATACATGAGGTAACTATTATTGATGATCATAGCTCAGTATTATATGGGATAGTGCATCGACATGCCAGAGGTACAAAGATTTATATGAGGTGGATATCGTTGATGAGCTCAGTTCAGTACTACATGAGGTAGTGCGTCGATATTCCATATGTACAGGCCATTGAGTCGGATTTTAGGAGGCTTGATCTAGCCATCCATCCTACACTAGGGTACGATGAGGCTCGTGATCTGTATTTCTAGGATGCCTATTTGGTAGTCCGTCCCGCACTCATGTTACACACTGAGATCGCGATGAGACTAATGATCCGTGTACACAGTTTAGTATACCTACAGGGTAGTCCATTGCACTGAGACAGTTACTTGATAGCTTACGTATGGTAGATGCTGATTATGAATATGACCTATCATTGAACTATATGACTGAGATATGTTACTTTTGAAAGTATACAAAAATTATGTGTTAGTATTTTATTCTATCTCTCCAGTGATAGTGGAAGATATTATAAATACGATGTGTTGATATCTTATTTCTTTTACTGTCTTTTTTTTACTTCTTAGTTGGGATCAATGATTAGAGATATCTACAATTTGAGACTTATGATATATACATGAGGGTTTCCTTGTTTGGATTATTTCGCTCGATGTAGCAGTCTCGTGTTATGGATTTCTAATTGTTGGTTTCATTAGATTATCTTTTCTTAGTTCGGTATTAAAATTTAGATATCTACAATTTGAGACTTATGGTATATACATGAGGGTTTCCTTGTTTGGATTATTTCGCTCGACGTACTACGTCTCGTGTTGTAGGTTTCTAAATGTTAATCCTACTTAGATACGGGAAAAATAAATCTAGGTAGACTATGCTTAATAGATAGAGCCTTCACTCCACCTAGTAGCCCTTTTCCTAGGGGCGGATGGAGGTAATCTTGCTGTAGCGTTCTGACGCTCTTGTTGTTGTTTCTTTTTCTTTTAAAAATACTCTTTCAGGTAGCTCGGAGTTCCGGAGAGCCGTAGGATGACGGAGTTCTTGTATAGTCGCCATCCCGAGAGATTTATTAGAGGCTCCACTGTAGTTTTAAATTTTATTCAGAGTTCATTTCCATTTTGTAAAGGCAATGAGCCTTAGTTCGACTTTCCATTTTGATTCATGTTGAGACATCGTATGTTATTGCAGACTCCAAATGTATTTCAGTTATTTTCAATTGAGACATGACCTTATTTATGAGATATCATCCTCTTTATCATGTCTATTATTGTCATTGTACTTCTTTGCCTGTTTTGTACCTACGCTTTTATTTGACCCCACTAGAGGATATTACTGTGATTGGTGAAACTTGTTATTGCACAGTGTGGGTGCATGGCAGGTTTGACATCTCTGGGTTCACATTGGACTACAGCCATGAGTGAAAACAGGGGCGTCATAGTTGGTATCGGAGCTCTAGTTCCAGTATCCTTAGGATCATCCTGTGTCGATTCGTGGAGCTAGGATAGAGTTTTTTAGGATTCATGTATAGAGTCCGTAAGGATTTCCTAGTATGAGTGAGGACGATATATGCATATATCTCAAAAATTGAGAAAAAAAAATTTTGTGACAACTATTTTATGTTGATTGAAGGTATTTATGTGAATACTATGTGTTATGAATTCATATTGTGATACATTATATTTATGTATTTTTGCTATCTCACTTACTGTGAAAATTAAGCTCTCCTTTTGATATTATAAATATCGAAACGAGGATGTGGTCGAGGTAAAACTCATACCTGGAGAGCTGGGCATGCAGAGCCGAGCCACAACAGGCTCCACAGTATTTGACCGACTTCATGGTGTTGTTAGCAGCAAGATCTTACAACAATCAAGGAGCAAGAAGTGTATCTATTTCCGTCAGCAACACCACTTTCAAGAGATTCACCACCGGTTGTACCCATCGTGGAAGTAAAGATAAAATACCAATGAGTACACCACCACCACAATCAGTTGTTGATAGAGCCGCAGAGCAGGAGATTTAACTCTGAAAGGATAAGAAAAATATCAGACAATATGAGCACCAAAATTTCAAGGCACACCAGTTTCAATTGCAACCTATAAGGGAAAGAGTATATGAAAGTTTCTTGAATATCGGCTAAGAACCAAGCAGAAGTCAAATATATATTCAGCATTGAGGACCATCGCTAGAGGATAGCAACAACATCCAGATTTTTTTTGACGAGATAGTAATTATCACCTATTTAGGAGAATTTAGGTCATTTCTTCATCAAACAATTAGCGCTAGTCTAAGTGAAGCAGGGAGATATACCCATAGTGAAGGAAGAAATCAAAATCTAGAATAGTGACAATGATAATGGCAAGAGAACCATTGCGGAAATCTAGAGAAACCTAACAACGGGAGAATGATTTTATCCCAGCAACAAGGATAAGATAAGAAAGGAGCACAATGTGATTAGAGAGCGTCGGAGTAGCGCAGAGATTCGGAGAAACATGTTACAATCACAACAAGGTCGAACAAATAGCAAAAAACTTGTAGCAGTTCACAGCAGGAAACTAGCATGATAAAGGTCGTAGTCGGCAATCTCAGAGTCGTAATTTCGGCCAGCAGTGAGGAAATAGAAGTACTACTTGTTAATCTGAAGATTTAGGGGCCAGCAGGCTAGATTTGCATTATCCAGGAGATTTGCACTATCCAGCAAAGTCTATTCAGCTGTACCGCATGATCAGGGTACGAGCGGAGCTTTATTCATGATTTCATTTTCAGTTCGGATCTAGTTTGATTTATGAAATGTGTTTATCTCTTATCCTTCGTACCTTTGTTGATGGGTGTTAGCTTGTGGCATTCCTTAGATTTTTCATTATCAGTGCCTACCCCTCTAGGGGGTGTCCTTTCCATCTGTAGGAGATGTGTCATCAAACTAGATGAGTCTGAGTTAGACATCGAGTTGATCATGTTGTCGATGTCAAATTTTACGGATTGGTTATCTTCCTACCATGATAGTATTGACTGCTTTGCATAGACGGTCAATTTGCGAGCGTCCGATGGGTCCGAGATGATTGTAGCAACCTCCCAGGGCAACCGTTTTGCGGAGTCATTTCTGGCGTACATCGAGGAGGTGATGCGATGGGATCAGGGTATTGATTTATTAGAGACTAGAGTTGTCTCAGAGTATCAGGATGTCTTTCAGAACATACCTAGATTACCTCATGTGTGAGAGATTGAGTTCTGTATTGAGTTGCAATCAGGCACAGCCCCGATATCCCGCGCACCCTATCGCATGGCACCAGCTGAGATGAGGGAGCTTTAGACCCAGTTGGACGAGTTTTTAGCTTAGGGTTTTATTCATCGGAGTCATTCTCCGTGGGGAGCGCCAGTTCTCTTCGTGAAGAAGAAGGATGGCAGTATGCGTTTGTGTATTGATTATAAAGAGTTGAACAATGTCCCTATCCGGAATAGGTACCCATTACCTAGGATTTATGACTTGTTCGATCAGCTGCGCGAAGCGCATGTTTCTCGAAGGCTGATCTTCGTTTTGGGTTATTGTAGTTGCGAGTTCGGGAGAGGGATTTTCCCAAAGCCGTGTTTTCCTGATTCGATATGAATCATTTGAGTTTTTTGTCATACCATTTGGGTTGACCAATGCACCCGCTGTATTCATGGATTTGATGAACCGGGTTTTCCATCCCTTCTTGGATCAGTTCGTGATAGTTTTTATCGATGACATCCTCATTTATTCGAGATCGGAGGTAGAGCACGAGCAGCATCTCCGGTTAGCTTTGCAGACTCTACAGGAGCATCAGTTATATGTCAAGTTCAGCGAATGTGAGTTTTGATTTTTAGAAATCAGATTTCTCGGTCACGTCATCAGCAGAAAGGGCATAG